CCCACCTAAGTCTTTTTTTTTTTTTTTGCCAACTTTTTAATACACTAAGGGCAAAGATTCGCATGCATTCCTAGGAAGATAACTCCATATAAATGACTGATCTTAAGAGTGAGAAATATTCTCATAAAATGATTAGTATCGTGAATTGAGGCACTCACCATAGGATAGTAACGATCTGTCTCTTGGGAGGACCCCGGAAATCATCATTTATCCTATGTTCCAAAATCCAAACAACCACTCCCACAACAAGGAAAAGGATTCCTGTAACGCACCACATCATTGGAGTGAAAGGTCTCAGAAAGGCCCATTCATTTGAGTTTCGCTTCCTGACTGGTGCTACAACGACTAATCCAGATTCAATGTATGGCTGTGTAAAATCTACCATCCTTGTTCGATTTGTAGTGATGGCAAGGTCGCCCACTGCAGCATCATAGACCTGTACAGAACAAAGACAACTAACAAACTGAAACAGGGGGACAGCAAACAACTTCTAGCATTGCTTCAAATAGTTTTGCGTCATCACTCACACCAGCTGCAACCAGGCTGACTAGGTCACTGACTTTGGGGTTGTTATGACCATCTCCAAATGGAATCAACTTATATGGAACAGCATATGGCAAGAAGTTCAAAGCTGCGGTGAACACATCGATGCAGTAGCCACCAAAGGTGTCTGGACCTTGTACTAATGACACAAACTCACGATAAACCACTCGGTTAGGAACCCCAATTCTCAATTCCCTTCCATTGTTCGGGAAAACCCATCCGCGTGGCTTCTGTGTTGTTTGGCCAGGCCAGATTACGTCATATAGTTGTTGTGTCGACCTGGAACGATTAGGTGGCTTCCTGTAAAGTATTTCTGGAGGCACAATAGATAAACCTGAATAATTGGACCAATATCCGATCCTCCTATACCCATTTCCCACAACATTGATTACTTGATATGCAGGATGAATGAGGTAACCATCTGAAGTAAACTTGATCGGGCCTGTCACCCCTATCATGTTAACCTCTGAAATGCTCTTGAGCAACAACTCACCTCCATTAAAGATGCTCAAGACATCAAAAGGCAATTTTCCTCCTCCTAGTCCTAGTTGGGTCAACCTAGAATCCTTTGAAAACGAGATATTTCCTCCCTGATTGAAGAACTTATCTATTGCATGAGCCAACAGCCAAACGGTGTCATAGGCATAAAGACCGTAAGTGCTCAACCCAAAAGGGCCATTGCTTGCCTTTCTACTAGTCAAGTTGCTCCAACCAGTGACAAGATTTGTTTTCTGTTTTGAATCCGAAGTGTGCATGCGCAATGTAACGACTCCTTGAACGTTAGCTATAACATTTGAAGAAACAGGAGAGTAGGTATCCAGGACTGTGGAAAGCCAATCAGTAACTATCCACACATAGCCTGATCCCAGCATGCCAAGAGTCTCTGCCACATCAAGCACTTCCAGTCCCCAGTCAGCGTAAGTGTGAAGAACAAAAATCCTAGAGTCCATTAAATCCACTTTAACTAGTACGTTGGTGATTTCATTCCGAGTCGCACCAGGCCTCATGGGTGCTTTGTATGAGATCTTAGCACGGCTCTCTTCCAGTTTATCTCCGAGCACAGAGATTCCATTTCTCCCGTGGTCGTCATCAACAAAGACAGCTATGACATTTCTCCATTCATAGTACTCTATGATATCTGCTATTGCAGCCATTTGAAAGAGATCACTCTGCGTTGTCCTGACAAAGAACGGGTATTGAAGTGAAGACAGGGCGGGGTCTGTTGCAGCGTATGATACTAGAGGGACATGGAGCTCATTTGCGATGTGAGAAACAAGATGAGCCGTCACCGAAAACTGTGGGCCAATTATCGCCACGATTTCATTTTGCACTAACTTTAATGCTGTAATGAGTATCAAAATTAATTAACAAGAAGCTTTATTACCCCAACAAAAATTTAAAAAAGGTCATCCCAATGAGCCAATTTACCTTCAACGATGCCCAGAAACCCACTATAGTTTGTGTCCTGCATTGTGAGCTTCAGTTTAGTTCCATTGAGGACAGCTGGTTCAGAATTCACATCTTCCAAAGCAGCTTCTATGGCCACTCTTGCAACTTTACCAACGGTAGAGTTGAAGGAAAAGATTGCTCCAATGTTCACAACATCGGGTCTGGTGGTAACATTCAGGCTGCTGCCGAATGGAAAAAACTCACTGTTGAAAAGCACAAAAACCAGAAGCCAAACTTTGTTCATAGCGATCTGCCTAATCACTCAAGACTGTCGAGATTGAAAACCAGTCTAGCCACAAAATGGAAGGAAAGAAGGATATATAAGAACATAGTTGCAAATAACTTCATAAAGGATAAGGAAAGAAGGAAAGGCTGGAGAGATGGAAAGATTTTCTTAAAAATAAGAACATTAAATCATATATCAGTTGAATCTTGAATGTCATGTGCTGAAAGATGGAAATGGGAAGAAATATTAAACACTGTTGAAAGATGGAAAAGAGGAGATTGTAACTGGAAAATACTTAATCAAACTCATATTATCAGGCACTATCCTTTTTTTTTTCTCAGTCTAAAAAAAATTTGTATTAAAGTCACTGAAACTACAGTGTAAAGATCAGCCTTTACATGGGGACCAAAGTCAGGATATACAATTAATCAAGGTACAAGCCTAGTTGTACTCAGTACCATTAAACAAAGCAGGCAGTATTCCTGACTGATGCCAACTAGCATGTTAAAAAGAATACAGCAGTCAGCGGTTGAGAATTAGCGTTGGGCGGCCTTCTTCACAAAAAGGCATGGACCACCATAGGGAATGACTCAGACTGATTTGCAAGAGGAAGAAACATCTACAATGGTTATGTTTCCTTTTGTTACTTATCCCTTGCCTTCTTTTTGTTCCGGAGCTGGTTGTGGTCTCTTGCCGTGTATTTTTGCTTGTCAATTTCATTGTACAGATTAGGTCGTTGCTGGCCAATTATTTAAATTAAAAAAGTTACTAAACCAGTGATTAGACTTGAGTAGAAAGAAACAACCTACCATAGCCAAAGGAAATCACAGCAAGTACCAAGGCGTGAAGGCAAGAAAAAACACATGGAAAACAACAAAGCACGTTATGTAGGCCAAAGGAAATCATAAAAACAGCAAGTACCTGATTTGTTGTGCTCAATGACCAGAGGAAGGCGTGAAGGCAAGAAAAAACACATGGAAAAACAACAACTGTGCGGAAATTGGTGGTTAAAACGAGGTATAATAATAGGATAAAGGGGGAACTATTGGCTAATGGCTAAGCAAGCATCATGCTCTTCAAAGTGCAAAAACATACCAAGTACATGTTTTCAGACACTGGAATTGGAGGCAATAGTTAAGGTCAAATGACTTAATTAGGATACCCATACAATCTACGTATTCATTCATATTTTTGTTTTTATGCCATTGGCATTTGGCAACAAATAAATCATGCTTTTAACTGTTTAATGGATCCTTTTTTGCCCATAATATCAGCCATAACTTTTTAGCTACCATTCTTCTTAATAATTCATAAATTAATCCAGCGGTTTTCACACATGCTTCTCACCAACCCTTTTAGTTGGACAGTATGGGACCTGCTTCTTCAATGGTGGGGATGTCATTGTCTTCTCCTCATAGTTTATCATCCTTTTTACAGTCTTGGGCTGGTTGGGTTTTGACGAAGGACACACACAAGCGGTGGATGATAGTTTGTGATGTCACATCTTGGTCTCTGTGATTGGTTCGTAATGAGTTAATTTTTAACAGCAAAGTATGAGATGGGTTTGAAATATTCTGTCCTATTAAGATGTGATGAAATCCTACGCAACTCTGATGGTTAAGTGGTGAGTGTTCTTTTCGGCCCACTAGGCATCCAAGACTCCAATTTTGCAGAGCTTATAGCCATTCTTCATACACTATGTCTTTGCTCCCGTCCCTTTTTTGCAAGTTCTAAGTTGATTATTGAATCTGTCTTCAAAAATGCTCTATCGTGGGTGACCAAAGACACGAGGCTTTGGAACAAGTGATATTTATTTAATGAAATTGATACACTTGTTCTTTCACTAGGTATAGTGTCTTTTTTCCATACACTACGAGAAGATAATTGTTTTGTAGATTCACAAACAAAGTTTGGAGTTGACAGAAATTCGATGTTTTCAGCATGGTGGTAAGTTTTGATATTTTTATTGGGTTGAGTTGCTACCTTGAGTCTTATGTTAATATTTTGATTAGCTTATGACTTTTGCATTGTCTTTCGATACTAAGCACCAATAGGCGAATCTTTAGTTTAATGGAACTGAGTACCACTAGACTTGTACTACACTGTAATTTTAGCAATTTTAATACAAATTTCATTTGACTGAGAAAAAACAAATTGCAGCGGTTCCAGTTCACCTGCTGTATGTTCGTACCTTCAATTACCATGTTTATCATTTTCTAAATAGTGTCACGAGTCAGAACTGTTTTGCTGCTCTAATTACCTCTGCAGAAGCCTGAGCAACCTCTGTAGTTTGTCTTCTGATGTCTGAAGTCAGAATTGAACTCAAAACGACTTAAGTTTTGATTAGCATACGGTACTGCATCACTGTGGACACGGAATAGCTGGAAATACACAAGACTGTGTTGCTGCTAACAGCAATATATATATATATATATATATATATATA